TTTGTTGCTGCTAAAAAATGTTTAAAAAAATTAGGATTATGTTTCAAACAGTTCATTCTCATGAAATAATTCTTCAGATGGGAGGAAAAAAATGTAAAAAAAAAATATTTCTGTTCCATCAATATGTCTAAAATCACAGCAGCTGTTTTAAAACTGACACTTCTGATGAAACCTCCCAGCTAACAACTTTATTTTGAAGATTGTTAAATAGTTTGTAAAAGCTGAGATTCACTCAGTTACATTTCAAAATAAGCCCTCTTAAAGAGAGGCCTTCATTTTAAACGTTATTTATGTCCTGCTTTAAACCTTTTGTTTTCAGAGTCTGAAGACGAGGTTGAGGAACTCGACAGGGTCCGCTCTCCTGACGTCGCCCCAGAAGACTCCGCCCCCTTCTACGACCCAACAGTCTGGTTCGTCAGTTTCAGATTCCTTCACGTCTGCAGCTCCTGTGATGATGTCGTACCTGCAGCAGGTAAACGGAGCTGACGTCTGTTTGTGTGTGCAGCTCGGAGCCGGCAGCTCCCGGCGACGAGGAGGAGGAGGAGGCGGCTGCAGCGAGCCCAGAACCGGAGCAGGAGGTGGAGAAGGACGACGAGGAGGAGGAGGAGGAGGAAGAGGATGCCGTTGAGGTGGAGCTGAAGGTGGAGACGATGCCGGAGACAGAAACAGAAACACAGACGGCTGACGATCAGACGGAGAAAAGCTCCGCCCCCACCACTGCCCCACCCACCACAGAAGCTGCCTCCGCCCCCTCTGACCCCACCCCCGCTGCTCCAGAGGAGAACCGGGTAGGTCTGAAGTCTGGAGATGTTATTTAGTTTGTAGTTCRGACGTTTGTTTTTAAAAAGGTTGGAGGTATTGAGTTTTTCTGGAAATGTGATTTTCAAACCTCTAAATGAACTCTTCAGCTCTACTTTTCATCAGCAGGTTTGTTACAGTGAAAAATAATGTTTAAACATAATTTTAGTTCTCAGTGGGACAAACAAATTTGGTCAATTACACTTTTATTGGATGAAAATGATAATATCTTTAATCTGGAGGAATTTAATTGCAAGTACGGCATGGATTGTTTAAAGAAAAATTATGAAAACGTAGTACAAAATATCCCTGAAGMGCTCATTCAGTCAGTTAAAAATAATTTGTCAAATATCACAACTCCAAGACTACACAAAATTAAAACTGATTATGTGGACATTGCAGATAAAAAATATNTATATATATATATATATAGTTTTTAAAAACAAAACGTACAATTGTTGGAGGATTCTGAGAGTAAATGTTGGTAAAAATAAAGCAAATATAACTTGGGATGTTGGGTTTGTGTAAGTTTCGTGGATCTGTTTGGAAACAGTGATGTAGGCCTACCTTTGCGAGTCTATTTTTTATTTTTTAGAACATATAATGCCATGTTTTAACATGTCGTTCACATTTTTGTCAATACAAAACTTTTGTCGCCACCAAGCGGCAAAAATTTGCCAGCGCGCCGCCGAGCAAACAGACACCGGTGTACGCCGATTTCTTAAGCAAACGCACCTCTGACCGCTTTCGTCCTACATACGGGCTTCTTGTGGTTCTCGCATTTGATTGGCCCACGGCTCCACAAGCCTGTATTCGATTGGATGATGTCGCGCTGAGGGGGCGGGATGTCCTGTTCGGTCGCGAAGGTGAAACCGGTACCCGGGCAGTCCAGCACGTTGCGAAGCCGCTAGTTTTTCGGCAGCAGCTACGGCGATCCCAGAAAAATCACCTGAATTCAAAGCAACGTTTACATTTTAATTATCCGACCGATTGGTGAGTCGTTTTACCGTGTAAGTCATTTCACCGGTGATAGAAATGTAAAAAGTGTGCTTTCCTCTCACCGTGTTTGTCGAGTTGAATCGGTTTACGGCTCCGTCTACTTCCTGGCCTCCAATAGTGGTCGTCTTTTTCTCCACATTGTGGCAAAGCTAATTATTTTGATTATTAAACATAACATAATTATGTTATCAAATTCTAAAAGTGTAATGATGCATCGGAATAAGTCGTTTTTGTGTGTTATAGTTTTGTCTTTAGCCAGGAAATAGCCACCGCCCTGTACGTCGTGACTTCCTCCTTTAGTTAGCTTTCTTCTCTGTTTTTCCTCGTGAGTGAAAATGTTAGCTTATATTTAGCATTTAGTCCCGGTTTTTATGTGTTTGTTCGTGTTTTCATCGAGCTTCCCGGTTAACTCCGTTAGCCAGGAGCTGGAAGTCGGTGCGAGGTTTCGGGGACACGTGCTGTGGCTCGTCCTGGCCGGCTTGGATCGGTCCTCCAGGGAGGGGGGGCAGCGGGCGGGTTTCTGCCCCAGTTTGTGGCGGGCAGCTCCAGCTGTCGCAGTCTGGGCCCGGTGCGGCCCGGTGCCGTCATGTGAGCCCGGGTTATTTCCGTGAAGGTCCAGTGGCCGGATCGAAGGCCTCCATCATGGCGCGGCCTTTTGTCGCGCCATGATGGAGCTGCCTCCACCGGGACAGGAGGAGGCAGCTCCCGCATGGCGCACGGAGAGATGAGGGTTGCGGGTTCGATACTCAGCAAAGCGACTTAGAGGTCGATCCTCTGTGGGTTTGGATCTCTCTGTGTCCCAGGCCTCTGGATCAGATAATAAACACTGATTTGTCTTTTAAAAACATGAAATAACCAGTGGGGACATTGTGTTCCTGCTAAACCTGTGAGGTTTTATAATATATACTTCAGTAGATATGGAAAATTAAAAGCTACTGCACGTACCTGAGCTTTAATTCTGTGGTAGATGTACTCAGATTTATTATGTAGAAAAACATGAGTAGCAGAGATGTAAAGTAACTAAGTTAGTCAAAATGGGCCATCACTACTAGCTTAATCATTAAAAATAAAAGTATGTGTATTTCATGAATTATATGTGACCCGTCACATCGAAATAAGGATTAAGTCAAATTTGGTCAAAATAACAATTACATTTTCAGATTATTGTCTTTAAAAGCTACATTTTGACACCTGGATCATTCAGATATCATAACTAAATCCATATATATGAC